TGAAGTGACAAGTGGTATAGTGACTAGTCAGAAGAGCAGTTGGATTTGTTGTTGTAGAAAAGCATGTCCGTTATAGCACTGGAAGTCCTGAAGATAATAATACATGCTACTACTGTATGCTATTACAGATGATCATCATCTGTCATATTCACTTTCGAACATTTGTCTATTTGTCTGTTTCCATTAACATACATTGGTTGTCTTGCGGCTGTCATTGTTATCATGCCAAAATGCATCACAATATCAGTGGTGAAAATGCTTGTTACGAGGGTGTGATTAGAGATTAAGTTGATGGAATGTTCTTTATGAACTGCCAAATCAGTTAGCACTGCATTCTTCCTGCAATAAGACCAAGATTAGTGCCCCTCTCTTATGACATATTGGGGTCACTACCTCATGCTATTGCGTGCAGACAAATCGTTTTCCAGTATACATATATTTTCGCTCTGTGAATGTCGCCTTTGAGCTGATTGAACACTTTAACCGATCATCGGATGACTGAATATCAGTGAAAAGCAGTAAGCATACAAAAAAGGCATTCATTGGATCAAACATACTGTATGATATCATATGACATCTGTAAAGAATGATATTAATAGTTTTTAATGATGATAATGATGATGATGTACAAACAGAACAAGCTAAATTAATTGTACCTTCTTTCTAAAAACACTTCATCAATCTAGGCACTGTTTTTGAAAAAGAAAAACGAATGAAGTGAACAATAGCATTCTGGATGAAGTTAATAACAAATGGGATTTGAGAAAATCTATCTGCTTCTAAATTATCCTGGCCCATATTAGAATCAGGAGTTAATTGCTTGGATCCATTGGAAGGAATGTTTCTGATCCTTATTGAAGAACAGTCTATTCAAACATGACGACAACAAACAGGGGGGAACTGGAATTTCCCCGTTCTGCACGCAAGCTGAAGGGAATCTGCCAGAGAAGATTTTGCAAACAGCAGTGTAACACTACGCCCTCCGAGTCCAATTTCAAAATTATACTCAAAGCACCCAGTAAACATGGAGAAGGGAGAACTCAAGACCTCTTCTGTTTACTGGTTCCATTTTAGCCCCTTGATGATAAACACTACATGCAACTGGAATGGGAAATATGGAACTGTAACCAGACTGCAGTGTGCAACATCACAATTCAAAGCATTTACAATACTTACACCAAAAGGTTTTACATTAAAGTAATGCTTTCTCATTGGTACTTCATAATTTGGTGGGCCCTTTGCCTCCCTTTGTACCAACTGTATAACATTTCAGAACACTTCTCACGCATCACTCTCAATGTCATTATACCAAACCTATAACCTTTTCTGCATTTCTTTATGAAGACTATCACTCTGTACATACAGTGCGTTTCAGAAGAGCATTTAAAGGTTATGGACGATTATCCAGTCTACCTCTCTTGCTTTTACGTGGTCAAATCCACTCACCTGGCAGCGCCTCAAATGCATTAGCTCGGATTAGCTTCATTTTAATTACGTAATTTGGCCACATCTGGGATATAATTCCCTAAAAGTCTGCTATGATTCAACATTTTATGTACAATAATTATTATTTGATTTGATTATAACCAATTCAAATTGTGTTTACAATACGTGATAGATCACAAACAAAATCTGAAAACAATCACATTTGAAATCCATCATTCACATACGACATCCTCCTCATGTCATGTGAAGCAGAGCACATGTTGAATCTAGTTCAGCACTACTTCAGAAACTTCAGCTCTTATCTAGTGACCATCTGGCTCTCAATGTGTTACACCCAGCTTGACGATTCATATCACACTTCTGCTTTGATCCATGTATGATACATCTGAAAACAATTAATTAATCGTTCACATTCACACACGGCATCCTCCTTGTGTCATGTGAAGTCATCAGATTCTGACCAAGCAAAGCTGATATATAAAACCCAACATTGTGGCATAGTGCACTTCATACATACCTTCCTTCCTTGTGCATTACAATGAGCCCTGAGGGCGGCCCCGGGCCTTGCCAGGGAGCAGTCACGCGATGCACTCGGGAGTAAGTAGAGCATTCATTATCTCGCTGATCTGACTATTCCTTCCCTGAGACTTTCAATAGTGCACAATTACTCCCTCATGTGCTGGAGCACATCACAGCTTCCTAATATCTACCATTTTCTTTTCCCCCGTTACTCTGTATTCCACAGAAATACACTGTCATGTTGGCTCATACAAATCAAACAGGCGAGTTAGCTGGCGCTGACAAGACGCTCAGCATACATTAAGCTCCAGGTAACACTCTAGGAACAGGCAGCATGACACCTTCCTGGAGCTGTATCCTGTATGGAAAATGACATGATTTCTATGGACTTTTGGGGATTTTTATGAATACACAACAAACTTACGGATAAATAAATCTCATCCTTTTCTTGTCTGGTCATTTCAAAGAGAAGCCTTTTCATGATGAATGTGCAACAGGCAATATCCGAACTGCTTAAATCAAACAGTAGTCAGGACCATGGAATTAATTACCATTGACACTGTGATCCTACCTACGAGGACACGTACCTGAAACCACATGGAGCCGTGTAGTTTGTACTAGTTCTATAATTTTACGTTGAAGTTTTAGTCATTTATCAGGCGCTCTTATCCGGAGCGACTTACAGGAGCATTTAGGGTTAGGTGCCTTGCGCAAGGGCACATCCCCAGCTCGGGGATTCAAACCAGTGACCTTTCAGTTACTGGCCCAACGCTCAACCGCTAGGCTACCTGCCACCCCATCACTTTACCTGCCCTTTTTTAATTGAGCTCACTGCAATGAAGTGAAGTGCATCCACCAATCTTATTAACCTCTCTGTGAGCTTATTGCGATCAGCGGTGAAGACCATACAAGAGAATGTGATATCTGAATGGGCCTGATGACCGGAACCTGGCAAGGGGAACCACAGCTGCTGACTAAGAGGAAGAACAGCACGTGGCACAACTTGTACTGCACACCCATTCATAAGGCCATAGGGGGTTACAGCGTTATTATGCTCCTGTGTGGCTCAGTCGGTAGAGCATGGCGCTTACAACGATTCCCGCTGGGACCCCCCATACATAAAAATGTATGCACACATGACTAAGTCGCTTTGGATAAAAGCGTCTGCTAAATGGCATATATTATATGATATATCCTTATACAGTATCCTTAAAAAGAACAGCATCTATCCTCCTTACTCACACACTGTGTTAGCTGGATGAGATACAACGTCATCAAGATTATTCACAAAAGTACTTAGCAGATAGCACACAAAATGAGAGATGACAGAAAAACAAGAAAAACCACAGTTCTGGCACACATCCTGTGTTAGTGTGGTAATATGTCTGCATTGTCTCAGGCTGTAGCTGTAAATAACATCTGCTCTAAACTTGAAGGTTTGTAGGGTGCTGAAAACCCATAAAAAACCAACCACCTGTTGAAACTGGAATATACTATTGTGTTTGAGGGTCAAATCTTAACCAATATTTTTAGTGCTTCATTTAGTCTTTCCCAGGGGTAATAAAATCAGACTGGGTGATCAACCTGGGAAGTTGAGATCTGGGTGATCAGATTTGAGCGTAATTGTGCCCGACACCAGTCCAACAGTAGTGTTGGGACAACAAAGGATTTCTCTCCGCTGCATGCTGTGTTCTCAGCTTGCCCTTGTTGGACCAACAGATTTGGTGGTTTGGGGTCTGCCACTCACGGCTTTCGTTGTGCAGGGCCAATCTATGCAATTACTGACATAAGACTATTCATGCAAAGATACCCACCTGCTCCAGCATGGCGAGGCCACAGAAAGAGACAAGCTCATTACATCCCTAATGAAGGAAAATGCGTTAATATTTTATTCTGTTGTGCTGTTACTGTAGATGGGAGATTTCAATTGGACAATACAATTCCTTTAAGTTTGTAGCTATTGATATTAGTGAAAATAGAAGAGCTACTAATTTCCTTCATTAGATAGCATATCTATCCTTTTCGTTATTCATAACAGGTAAGCTACCTCCAGTATGAGCTTTGCCTTTGATGCAATTCAAAGCTATAAAGATTTACAGTATATTGCAAAGACATAAATAGCTGACACCTCATTTGACGTGGACAATTGAGTCAAAACCTAATCTGAATCAGATAATCAAATGACGTTAACACATGCAGCAACACCACCTTGACCCAACATATTTCATTACAGAAGGGACTAGAAATGACAGAAAAAAAAGAAAGAAGATACATTTAACCAACGTATAAATAAGTACATTTCAATAGTTCATATAGGCTACCAGGCATGTATATCCATCACATATTGGCTGCATGATCAATGCTGCCACAGTGACATCATGCAGGCGCAGGGTCATGCATGCATGGGTAAAATATCAAGGCTGTTTGGTCATGTTTTCCATTTTCATTTTCTCAACGTGATAAACCTTGTCAGATACGTAGAACAGTAGGAGAGTAGTAGGACTGTGCATGCTGAGAATATCAATAGGCTCGTGATGTCTTGTATGGCTGTTGTAGCGGGCCATGAGATAAACAGCAGAGCATATGTTGAATCTAGCTCAGCACTACTTCAGAAACTTCAGCTCTTATCTAGTGACCATCTACCTGTCAATGTGTTACACCCAGCTTGACGATTCATATCACACTTCTTTGATCCATGTATGATAAATAACATTCTTTCAGCTGTCTAAATGTTGTCTAAATGTTCTCATTAATAGTGTAAACAGAATTATAGCTTCATGGCAGGGAAGCAGCACTTGGGTAAAATAAGTGTGGCAGCACAGTATATGTGATGCAATTCAAGTATACAAACCAATATTTGTATTATAAAAACAAATACAACTTTGTAAGGGTGTGATAATGAATTGCGCAGTACTGTATGCATATGGTATAGAACGTATACTAGTGCACCATATAGTGTGCCATCTAATATAGAACAGATCCTGCAGTAAAAATGAATAATTTTCATACTACAGTATAGGGTGTAATCTTAGCATTCAGGGACAAATCTCGTGTGCGCGCTGTCGCGATAGGGTGTAACTGCTGTCACGAGAGACTGTATAGGGTGTAACTGCACCACATGGGGACGCTGTGATGTCCATACCTTGAAAGAAGCTTTTGACCCGGAGGTAGCTGACGCTGAGGCGCAGCACGGAGAGCTTGTCCAGTTTGGAGATGATGTCTGGGGTGAAGGGTAGGAGACTGGCCAGCCGGTCCAGCTCTGCATTCAGACGGTCACGGTGCCTCTTAGACGGGTTGGTCTTCTGGCTGGCCGCTGGCTGTTTTCTGTCAGATGTAGGGTCAAATAATTTAGCGATGTTAATTGATGTTATGAAAAAGTAACAATCTAGGCTGTATTAAATCAATCTGAGGCCAAAATACAGTGCTATTGTCCCAATGATGACTGGTTTCTTCAATACACAAGCATGCATTACTGACATTTCAATCCCATTTTGTCTCCTCAGGTATATTAATCAATAGTTATTGGAACCGGTGTCATGTCTAAGTGGATATTTTGAGAAAGGTCACGGGTGGTCTGTGGGGTCTGAGAAGCAGTAAATTACTTGAGTAAAACGTTTTTTAAAAACTATAATGCCTAAATAATGAAGAGGGAAAGCCTCTGTAGCAGGTCCCTCAACAGAATAACACAGAAGAGAAAAATGTTCACAGTTGAACATTAACTATATCAAATGACACTGATGCTAATTTACAAATGTGTGGAATATCCATCAATGCCAGACTTTCAACAAGGTTATTGTCATTATATTTTAGTTTGGCACATGTAACCAACAGGTATTTCTTTCATGTGAGATTAACTCCTAAAATCAAATAGCTTGATTCTAATAACTCATTATTGAATGTAACAGTCACTTTTGTACCACTTTTGCACATGTCAATTAGGATCATTCATTCATGATCAGTAGTGTGCAACAGATGAGAAATAGATGGTTGCAATATTCCAATGATAGAGTTTGATAAGATAGGTCAATGATTTAATTGATCAAATAAACCAAACATACAATACATAAGTGACAATATCTGGTAGTGGTACTCAACTGTTTTTGGATGGGCTTCCTTCTCTTCCTCCCGGCATATAAGCAGTCCCCAGGTGGAATCATCATCTGAGTCAATTAACATTCATGTGTACCGGTACATGGCAAAACTTACACAAAGTGCATATTATGGTAAAACGGTCAAGAATGAGAATATAATTCTACAAGTCCCCTTCAAGCTACAATATTGATTTAATTTTGTTTCATATTTATTGATTTATCTATCACAATAAACAATGGTAAGAGCTGCTACAATGAAAAAGTAACTTAGCATCCCCGTTATTTCACTATACGCGCTTCAACCTGCGTGCCTTTGTTTACATTCAGGGGCCAAAGGCATAATAGCGTCGAAAAGTATAATGCGTAGTAGCCTAAACTCAGGCATAGTAAACCATCGAGTCAAGGGAAATTACTATGGCTGATAAAATGTTGAAATTAACTAATCTACTAGCTTACACATTGTATTCCAATGTAACAACTCACCTAAAGGCTGTTCCAATCAATTTGCAAATCAAAAGGTAATAGGCAGTAGTCCTCAACCGTCTAGAGAGCCCCGTTAAATGTACAATTTGTGAATAAAGTTGCAAAAATCCTAAACTATTGCATACAATACAGCTCTCAGTAAAGATGCTTTATCAGCTGGCGGTCTTCTTGTCAGGGATGTGGTTGATGTTATATACCCGATTGGGTGGCGTTAACTTCCACGTAGGCTATTTCAGATGGCGGATACATCCCAATGACCTGGCATGCCCTTCGCACGCAACTCTCTGGGATGCACTTCAGGACTGGGACGCACAACAAGGTGTTTCGCACTTCTCCGCGCCGACGCCAATGAGCGAGCGTCTCTTATTATGGATATTATGTAATATTTCCATATAATGGAATGCGTTCATTTGCAAACGAAATAGTATTTATGTAGGTCATAGTTATATCTATTCGCATTCATTGACGTTTGGGAAGGGAGAGGAATGAAAGAGCCACAGCAATTTTACGGAAGGACATTAGCCAACATTTTCATGTTCGCACAGATAAATTAAAATAAAAACATTTACTTGCCTACATAGAGAGAGGTACAAGACACCGAATTAAAAACAGGGTGATTAGCCATTTGTTCTAGAATAAATGTGTGAAAATTGTCATTGGATGTACTACTGTATGGCCTAGTGCTACGGTAGCCTATATAAAGAAACTATGTAAAACATAGCTTATATTAAAATAAATTGGGTTTGTGTGCATCTAGCCTATGCTAAAGTCTATGATAGGCCATTTCATTCAATATATTGCATCATCGAGATCAAACGAGGGAGACAGTATCCGCATAATTCAACTGCACGAATTTCCCCAGAATCTAAATATAGAAAGACAAATCCTTCCTAAAACAAAAATGTTATTCAATGTATCATATTCTGTCATCAATAACAAGAAAAAAACGTCAGAATTTCGTAGTAATACTTCTTTAGAACCAATGGCAATGAATATCAGTTAAACAAAATGCTAATATTCTTGTCTATAATAAAACCACTCCCCTCAGTGTCCCCATAGTCCCACTGACATGAGCCTGAACCACTGGCCTGAACTCTGGGGCACCAGGACAATGATAGGTGAAAGTGCACCATCTAGTGAGCACAAAGCATTGCAAAAAATACATTTATTGAAATGCATAGACATGAGCAGTATGACAATTGTTCACAATTGTTTTTAGAGACAGTACATTGACGGTCAATAGCAACATGACAGCAAAACAAGTGGACAGTAGGCTACTGTAGCTGTAATCACAACTTCCTTACAGATAAGCCTGAATTCAATGACTTCTTCCACAATATCTATGGCTGAGGTGGACCCTACCTAATCTTCCAAGATGTAATTGGGGTTGACCACTAAGAAGGGGTCCTCTTCGATCACAGGTTCCTCTCCCTCATCACCAACTTTCTTCAGCCCAGTCTTTGTTAACTCTATGATAATGTGGTCCTGAAATGAACACAATACAGAGCATGTCACTCACCAATTTTACAAAAAGCACGCACTGCTTTGTGTACAGATGAAAATCATAAATGTTCTTCTGTACATTGTAGTTTATGGTCTTAGTGTGTCTTGTTTTCCAATGCTTTAACTTACATAATGGATTAGTCTGTGAAGCACTTTCTCTATAAGATTATTCTTGGCAACCAGCTCAGCTTCTGACTCAATCTCACTCTCCAGCTCTTTCAGGTACCAGTTAATCAGCTCGCTTTTCTTCAGTGAGGACTCCTCGTCAGCTGTAAGAATGAAACATTTTGTTAAACACTGACAAAACTAGTATGCTTTGAATTCATTATATCTAAAAAATTCATACATTTAGGAAAGGATCATTTCAGTTTGTTTAAAGGGACAATCTGCAGTTGCTACATCTATTTATTTACATAAATGATATATACACCCATTGATTATTGAAGAATATAACTTCTAAATACCTCATGAGCTTAGTTCAGCTGTCACCGCATCAGAACCCAAAATATAAGCTTGTTTAACTCCAATATTTGTAATATATTGGAGTAAACAAACACTGTATAGCCTCAAAACATGGTTAAATCTATATATTTTTCTAGCTATATATAATTTCTTCTTAATCTTGGTTGCATCCATAGCTCTTTCTATGAATTTGAGAGGGGTTACATTTCTCCAGCCCCATCCCTCAGCTTTTTGCGAAAACACTGGAAGGGTGAGGCTTTGTTATCGTTTCAACTGTAGATGGCCCCTTTAAGCTCTTACTATCTTCCATCTTCTGCATGTGCAAAACAATGAGGTTGGAGACCCTTCTGTACTCAGCAAAGGTCATCTTGAGGGCAGGCTTCGCAGTGCTGGTCTTCTTAGGTCTGCCTGCCCCATGCTCTGTTTCCATAGCCTCCTCTGTATTAGTGCCCATCATGTCATTCTGATCTGGAGAACAGAGCGTAGCAATTTCTGACATGTACATGTATCACTTTCAATCAATATATTATTGCAAAGGTGAAAGTGACCGTTTCTTACCATTCATTTCCCCATTGTTGTCTTGTTCCTGGTCGAAGTTGATGTCTGGGGAGTCGACGCTGATGACAGACTTATTCAATAGTCGGAAGGCCTCCTTAACGTGTTTGGGATGCACCTTTAAATAAGTCAAAACAAAGGGTTAAGATGTGTGTTGTACCATCAATGCAACTCCTCAGAAATCAGGCAAGTTTATTCATTACATGAGCAAAATGACTGAACCACCTCTGTTACATAAACAACCATAATTATTAGCTTTTAACAAGTAATGAAGACAGACTTTTTTACCCTACAATGTATAGGGGCCTATACATATGGTGGTGTATCCTTCAGTAGTAGGTGTCTGACCAACCTCATCGGAGCAGTAGAGCCTGGCCATGCCCTCAGACAGTCGGAGCATACTCTCTAGCTGCCTGACAGTGATACGCCAGGCTGACTTGGTGCTGCCACTGCTGTCCCGCTGACGCAGACGCTTGTACTGGTCCACCACAAACTCCTTCGACTCTGCCGTGATCTGGGGTCAAAGTGCACCACACCAACGACAGGGGACAGAAAGCATGCAACGGTAGGTATGTCTTACTGAACGCTGCATCTAAACAGCCCAACACATGAGGAATACCAATGCAACAAGGGCAATTATTACCTTTGGTTTAAACTGTCGAGCAAACAGTATGTATCTCTGGATCTCATCAGTGGCGTAAACTCGCTCCACAGACTCCATGTTTCTAAAGTGCAGGTCTACGATACGTCTGGCTATGGCATAATCTGTCACCTAGACCACAAGAAACAAAAGTGAAAATGCTAAATGTGTCAAGTTTCCAAAACGCACATTTCCATTCAATATGGGCTTATATTATATGAAGTAGTTAGGGGAAGGTTTCACTATAAAAAATAAAATAACATATTATGGGGTAGATCAGCTTTAATATTGCAGATAGATTGTAACTTCCATCAATGTAATTGTCTGCATCACTTCCAATCCCCCATATATATTTTTTTGCAAATACACACACACACACTACCAGTCAAAAGTTTAAACCCACCTACTCATTCAAGGGTCTTTCTTTTTACATTGTAGAATAATAGTGAAGACATCAAAACTATGAAATAGCACATATGGAATCATGTAGTAAACAAAACAAAAAAAGTGTTAAACAAATCAAAATACATTTTATATTTGAGATTCTTCAAATAGCCACCCTTTGCCTTGATGACAGCTTTGCACACTCATCATTCTCTCAATGTGTTATTTCATTGTTTTGATGTCTTCACTATTATTCTACAATATAGAAAATAATAAAAACTAAAGTTCTTAACCTATATACGTATTATGGACACAGTATGTTTTACATTAGTTATCTTGTTATTTGTTATTAGTCCCAACCTTCAGCTCCAGTCAACCCCTCCCATCTATCTCTTAACACCATCCATATTGGATTTCTATTTGCTATATATTTTTCAACTGTACTGTTTCACAAAAGTTATGACCCTTCTATTCTCATTGTTTCTACAGATTGTAAATTGAAAATAAACATTTTTGCTAAAAGTATTATATTATTGATCGATTGACTATGACTTTTCAGATCACCCAGTAGTGCTATCTGCAGGGTTAGCTCCAGGTAAATATTGCAATTATTCAGCCATTCCTGGACCTGTGACCAAAAACAAGCTACAAATGGACAGCACCAAAACAAATGATCTAATTATTGTCTCTTCGCAGCAAAATCTGCAGAGCTGGGAAGACTATTCCCCATATAAATAACATTCTATTGGTTGCAAAAATGTTGTATAATAATTTAAATTGAAAAATTCTAAGTTTTGAATCCGCCGTCGTTTTGCGTATCAGTTCATAAACCATGTGCCATGGAATCGGTACGTCAAAAATCTCTTCCGAACTATTTTGCAATCTGTATGGGACGGCTGTCAATCCTTTGGTCCTTAAATGAAACTGGTATACTTTTTTATTTATCACAATTTTCTTTAACCAATTATGATCTTTAATGCAGGGCCGACAGACAAGTTCCTTACCTTTTCCCCCTTCCACTTTCGTTTTCCAAGGTTTTGCTCTTACCTCATTGCACTCATCAATCAGAATGAAGAAGAGGTCAAATCTGGACATGATGGGTGCTGACATGTTGACGTTCTGTTTCAGAGACTTAGAGCGGTTGTATCTCCCGTCGATGGGGTTGGCAGCTGCCAGGATGGAGGTGCGAGCATTCAGAGTGGCCTTAACACAATACAGTCAAACGGATCACAACTCAAACCATTGATACTCCCTCTGCACTGAGTAGTAATAACAACTATTGCTGAATTAAATTGTGTGTGTGACAGAGGGTGTGCGTGTGTACAGCTACAGCTCTATTCCCACATCGCATACCTTCACTCCAGCCTTAGTGATGGAGATGGTCTGCTGTTCCATGGCCTCGTGAATTGCTACCTGGTCTTTCAAGTCCATCTTGTCAAACTCATCAATGCAACAGACTCCCTGTGGATGATGATAAAGAACAGTGCAGAGTAAAATCAAATCGCACAGTGCCCCCCAGAGGACATATGACCAAACAGAAAAGCATAAGATGATTGTCCCGTACTAGAACACAATGCTTACGTTATCCGCCAACATGAGGGCCCCAGCCTCGATGACAAACTCATGGGACTCCTCATCTTTCACTACAGCTGCTGTCAACCCGGCTGCGCTGCTGGCCTTCCCACTAGTGTAGACTGCCCTGGGCGCAAAGTCCTCCACGTGTCTGAGGTAGGGCACATCAGAGTTAACACCAACCTTTCACCTCATAAAACATCCACACCACTCCTGCTTCCATCATGTAGTAGGCTCCTTTGCTATGAGGAATAATGAGACCTCCAGAGACTAGCAACACTGCCTGTGCAACACAAGTAAACAACTCGAAATGCTTCTGTTAAAACATTTAAAAAACAGATTTGATCCTCAATTTCAAATATCACATCTGTTGGTTATACAAATAGGATAGTGCTTGGTGATTTACTTGAGGAACTGGCTCTTGGAGGTACTGGGGTCCCCAACGATGCAAACGTTAATATCCCCCCTCAGAGATGTGCCCTCCATGGTAGTCTTGCCAACACCGCCAAAGAGCATCAATAGGATTCCGCGCTTGATCTCGTTATTCCCTGTAATATTTTCTCAGGTTCGGCAGTGCATTTCAAAACAGATGTTTTAACAGTTTTTTACGTGACAAATCTACTCAATTTCCAAGTAAATAGCACAAGATATTCCCTCCATACCATGTATAGTGGGGAAGAGGCTGGTGCAGAGGTTATGGTAGAGGTTCTTGTCCTGACTCATCTCAAACACCTTCTCCCATTCCTGAATAGTCATCTGGTTCTTCACACTCTCTGCAGTCTGGTCTTCCTGGCGGAGATCTTTACCACCAAACTACCCACAGGAACACAGTTCAGTGGTTTTTCCTATTTAAATAATCTATAACTATACATAATCTCTAGATCCTTCTTCCTCGCTACAGGTTTCAAACTTGAGGGATCTTCCCATGTTAAATAAAGTTTATATTAATCTAAATAAATGTTTAACTAATGGACAAACCCGAGGGTTAGTGGGGGCCACGTAGCAGGCTAGGAAGGCCAGTCTGTAGGACAGATCCCTGACACCTAGAGCCTTCAGTCCCTGGATCCCATCTGCATCAAAGCCCTGCCTCCCCCCAGTCACTCTGCTGCTGGTCTCTGCCCTGGTGCCTGCATTGCAAACACGGAGAAAGTACAGGGGAGAATGTTACTATTATGCTCCATCGCAATGGTTTTTACATTTTTTTAACATTTTAGTCATTTAGCAGACGCTCTTATCCAGAGCGACTTACAGTTAGTGAGTGCATACATTTTCATGTATGACTTTGACCCTCAGAAGGCCATCTTGTGTGTAAGAGAAGGCATGGTGTGTAGAAGGCAGTTCCTCACCTGACACAGCCAGCGCAGCGACGTCTGGTACGACGATCAACGTGCCGGTGAAGTCGCAGCGGTCCCCTGCCTGAGCCATCTCCACAGCCTCTGCCCTCAGGATCACCTCCACACTGCGGGGGATGGAGCCACGAGGCAGCTCCGCCTGGGTCTCCTGGATACGCACCTATATGAACACGAACACACAGACGCGCACACATGCATACACAGTTAGAGAGTTGATATATCATGCTATGGTTTCATTGTCTGCTGGAGGGTCAATCCAGCCTGTTGGACTCATCCAGTCCAACCTCTTCATACCTTCTGAAAGTCCACAAAACGGGACTTGTTGGGGTCCAGCATGAAGTGACGTCGGTTGGCACAGACTGGGTTCTTACAAATGTTGGGCTGGGTGTACTTAAACTGCTGCTCAACATCTTTCATGACCGACTGGCAGTCCAGACACAGGAAGGTACCACTGACCAGCTCCGGGTGCACTGGGTGTGTCCTCACCACCTGGCCACTGATACGCAGTAGGGACCCGATCCGGGTCGTGGAGAGCTCTCGGATCCTGCCAAGGGACATTACAAGCAACTTAACGCTCAAGGTAAGTAATAATCTCATTTTAAGTGTAATGTAGTCAGAGAAATCTGGCTCAGTAGTTTGATCATTACTTTTGTCTTGATGGAAAGTCAGAGAAGGCCACATAGAACTCTTTGGCTGCTGGTATGTTCCCATGATCTCTTGCAAAGTGGCGCACTGCTCTGCATAGGAATGGGTATACCCTGGGGATGGCAAAACATGGACAAGTAGCAGGTAGCCTGGGAGTTAAAACGATGGGCCAGTAACTGAAAGGGTCACTGGTTCGAATAACCGAGCCAACGAGGTGAAAAATCTGTCTGTGCCCTTGACCAAGGCACTTAACCTTAATTTACTCCAGGGACGCACTACTATGGCTGACACTGTAAAACAACACATTTATCTGCAAAATTGAAATGTTCTGTAACTTGCTGGTTCAATGGAGAAATAGAATGAGAGTTTTTTGGGCAGGCCTACCAAATTAGCAATTCAATTACCTGTAATACTCCTCCTGAATGGTGGTAGCTAGTTGCTGATTGAAGTGCTCAATGTTGGTGAAGTTCACAGTCAGTGTGTTTCTCTCTGGTCGAATGAGCTCCTCAGCATCAGGTAGATACAAAAGCTCCCCGTTTGTGTCCTGAAACCTGTGTGTAAAAGTGAGGGGTGAGTTTACACATTGATTATCACTGGTATTAAGCACTATTATTGGGCTTGTCCAATAAATATAAACAACTTACTCCTCCAAGAACTCGAGAAATAACTTCTGACATTTTTCTGAAAGGTCATCTTTGACTGAAACTCCTGCAGCGCTGGTCTCGGCTGCAGGCTCCATTCAGAAAAATAATGACAGTTCCTATTAATGGAAGAGGGAGCTTCGTTTGCCAACCTTACCTGCAAGCTGATGGAGTAACAATGCACACAGGTGTGCCATCGAGTATAATTGGCATTTAGCTCCACCCACACCTGCACCTATTGGGGGGAAAAAACAAAAGCTGCGTTCAAACAGGCAGCCCATTTCTGATATTTTTTTCACTCATTTATCTTTTCATATCAGATATCTTTCAGAGCTGATCTGATTGGTCAAAAGACCAATTAGTGAAAAAAAAGATTAAAATTGGGCTGCCTGTCTAAAGCCTTGTTCGCACTGGCAGTTTGAAGTGACTCAAATCCTATTTTCCCATACGAAAAATAATATCATAATATCATAATAATTTATTCAACTTCAATTGCGCTTTTCATTACAGTGCTTGAAAAAGCAAAACAAACAAGAATCAAATAATACAGATATATGATAGAGTAGGTCTGGAGTCTGGACTACGATTTTCAGACAGAGTTGAACAGATGGAGCGACAGTCAATATTGACATATACAATATTTTAACAACATGCATGTACATGTATTTACGTATATGCAAATTACAGATATCTAAATACAGTGAGGGAAAAAAGTATTTGATCCCCTGCTGATTTTGTACATTTGCCCACTGACAAAGAAATGATCAGTATTTAATTTTAATGGTAGGTTTATTTGAACAGTGAGAGACAGAATAACAACAAAAAAATCCAGAAAAACGCATGTCAAAAATGTTATAAATTGATTTGCATTTTAATGAGGGAAATAAGTATTTGACCCCCTCTCAATCAGAAAGATTTCTGGCTCTCAGGTGTCTTTTATACAGGTAACGAGCTGAGATTAGGAGCACAGAAGCAATCAATCAATCAGATTCCAAACTCTCCACCATAGCCAAGACCAAAGAGCTCTCCAAGGATGTCAGGGACAAGATTGTAGACCTACACAAGGCTGGAATGGGCTACAAGACCATCGCCAAGCAGCTTGGTGAGAAGGTGACAACAGTTGGTGCGATTATTCACAAATGGAAGAAACACAAAATAACTGTCAATCTCCCTCAGCCTGGGGCTCCATGCAAGATCTCACCTTGTGGAGTTGCAATGATCATGAGAACGGTGAGGAATCAGCCCAGAACTACACGGGAGGATCTTGTCAATGGTCTCAAAGCAGCTGGGACCATAGTCACCAAGAAAACAATTGGTAACACACTACGCCGTGAAGGACTGAAATCCTGCAGCGCCCGCAAGGTCCCCCTGCTCAAGAAAGCACATATACAGGCTCATCTGAAGTTTGCCAATGAACATCTGAATGATTCAGAGGAGAACTGGGTGAAAGTGTTGTGGTCATATGAGACCAAAATCGAGCTCTTTGGCATCAACTCAACTCGCCGTGTTTGGAGGAGGAGGAATGCTGCCTATGACCCCAAGAACACCATGCCCACCGTCAAACATGGAGGTGGAAACATTATGCTTTGGGGGTGTTTTTCTGCTAAGGGGACAAAATCCCTCCTGAGATGTGTGCAAACCTGGTGGCCAACTACAAGAAACGTCTGACCTCTGTGATTGCCAACAAGGGTTTTGCCACCAAGTACTAAGTCATGTTTTGCAGAGGGGTCAAATACTTATTTCCCTCATTAAAATGCAAATCAATTTATAACATTTTTGACATGCGTTTTTCTGGATTTTTTTGTTGTTATTCTGTCTCTCACTGTTCAAATAAACCTACCATTAAAATTATAGACGGATCATGTCTTTGTCAGTGGGCAAACAAAATCAGCAGGGGATCAAATACTTTTTTCCCTCACTGTATATGTCTAAGCCTTATGTGTACAGATAGTATTCACAACCCTTGACTTTTTCCACATTTTGTTGTGTTACAGCCTGAATTTCAAATCAGATTTTGTGTCACTGGCCTACACACAATACCCCATGACGTCAAAGTGGAATTATGTTATTAGACATTTTTACAAATGAATTACAAATGAAAAGCTGAAATGTCTTGAGTCAATAAGTATTCAACCCCTTTGTTATGGCAAGCCTAAAGTTCAGGAGTAAACATTTGATTAACAAGTCACATAATAAGGTGCATGGACTTCATGGACATGGTGCAATAGTAGTGTTTAACATGATTTTTAAATGACTACCTCATCTCTGTACCCCACACATACAATTATCTGTAAGGTCCCTCAGTTGAGTAGTGAATTTCAAACACAGATTCAACCACAAAGACCAGGGAGGTTTTCCAATGCTTCGCAAAGAAGGGCACCTATTGATAGATGGGGGGAAAAAACAAAAAAGCAGACATTGAATTAAGCAATAATGCATGGGGGGGTGTGGTATATGGCCACGGCTAAGGGCTGTTCTTACACACAACGCAATGCAGAGTGCCTGGATACAGCCCTTAGCCATGGTATATTGGCCATATACCACAAACCCCTGAGGTGCCTTATTGCTATGATAAACTGGTTACCAATGTAATTAGAGCAGTAAAAATAAATGTTTTGTCATACCCGTGGTATACCACGGCTGTCAGCCAATCAGCAATCAGGGCTCGAACCACCCAGTTTATAATATCCTTTGAGCATAGTGAAGTTATTATTTACACTTTGGATAGTGTATCAATACACCCAGTCACTACAAAGATAAAGGCATCCTTCCTAAATCAGTTGCTGGAGGGGAAGGAAACAGTTCAGGGATTTCACCATGAGGCGAATGGTGACTTTAAAACATTTACAGAGTTTAATGGCTGTGATAAGAGAAAACTGAGGATGGATCAACAACATTGTATACTGAACAAAAATATAAATGCAACATGCAACAATTTCAAAAATGGAAATAACACATTTACATAAGTATTCTGACCCTTTACTCAGTACTTTGTTGAAGCACCTTTGGCAGCGATTACAGCCTCGAGTCTTCTTGGGTATGACACTACAAGCTTGGCACACCTGTATTTGGGGAGATTCTCCCATTCTTCTCTGCAGATCCTCTCAAGCTCTGTCAGGTTGGATGGGGAGCGTCGCTGCACAGCTAATTTCAGGTCTCTCCAGAGATGTTAGATCGGGTTTTATTCCGGGCTCTGACTGGGCCACTCAAGGACATTCAGAGACTTGTCCTGAAGCCACTCCTGCGTTGTCTTGGCTGTGTGCTTAGGGTCGTTGTCCTGTTGGAAGGTGAACCTTCGCCTCAGTCTGAGGTCCTGAGCACTCTGGAACAGGTTTTCATCAAGGATCTGTCTGTACTTTGCTTCGTTCATCTTTACCTCGATCCTGACTAGTCTCCCATTCCATGCCGCTGAAAAACACCCCCACAGCATGATCCTGCCACCACCATCCATCACCGTAGGGATGGTATTGACCAGGTGATGAGCGGTGCCTGGTTTCCTCCAGACGTGACGCTTGGAATTCAGGCCAAAGAGTTCAATCTTGGTTTCATCAGACCAGAGAATCTTGTTTCTCATGGTCTGAGAGTCCTTTAGGTGCCTTTTGGCAAACTCCAAGCGGGCTGTCATGTGCCTTTTACTGAGGAGTGGCTTCCGTAAAGCCACTCTACCATAAAGGCCTGATTGGTGGAGTGCTGTCCTTCTGGAAGGTTCTCCCATCTCCACAGAGGAACTCTGGAGCTCTGTCAGAGTGACCCTCTGGTTATTGGTCACCTCCCTCACCAAGGCCCTTCTCCCCCGATTGCTCAGTTTGGCCGGGCGGCCAGCTCTAGGAAGAGTCTTGGTGGTTCCAAACTTCTTTCATTTAAGAATGATGGAGGCCACTGTGTTCTTGGGGACCGTCAATGATGCAGACATTTTTTGGTACCGTTCCCCAGATCTGTGCCTCGGCACAATCCTGTCTCTGAGCTCTATGGACAATTCCTTCGACCCCATGGCTTGGTTTTTGCTCTGACATGCACTGTCAACTGTCGGACCTTATATAGACAGGTGTGTGCCTTTCCAAATCATGTCCAATCAATTGAATTTACCACCGGTGGACTCCAAGTTGTAGAAACATCTCAAGGATGATCAATGGAAACAGGATGCACCGGAGCTCAATTTCGAGTCTTATAGCAAAGGGTCTGAATACTTATGTAAATAAGGTACTTCTGTTATTTTTTATTAGCAAAAATTTCTACAACCTGTTTTCACTTTGTCATTATGGGATATTGTGTGTAGCTTGATGAGGAAAAACATGTATTTTATAAATTTTTGAATAAGGCTGTAATGTAACAAAATGTGGAAAAAGTGAAGGGGTCTGAATACTTTCCGAATGCACTGTATATAAAAAGTATGTGGACACCCCTTCAAATTAGTGGATTTGGCTATTTCAGCCACACTTGTTGCTGACAGGTGTATAAACCCGAGCAGACAGCCATGCAATCTCCATAGACAAACATTGGCAGTAGAATTGCCTTGCTGAAGAGCTCAGTGACTTTCAACATGGCACCATCATAGGATGCCACCTTCCAAGCAAGTCAGTTTGTAAAATGTGTGCCCTGCTAGAGCTGCCCTGTTCAACTGTAAGTGCTGTTATTGTGAAGTGGAAACTTCTAGGAGCAACAACGGCTCAGCCGGGACATGGTAGGCCCCACAAGCTCACAGAATGGGACCTCAGAGTGCTGAAGCGCATAAAAATCTTCTGTCCTCGGTTGCAACACTCACTATCGAGTTCCAAACTGCCTCTGGAAGCAACGTCAGCACAATAACTGTTAGTCGGGAGCGTCATTAAATGGGTTTCCATGGCCGAGCTGCACACAAGCCTAAGATCACCATGCACAATGCCAAGCGTCAGTGTTGTAAAGCTCGCTGCAATTGGACTCTTGAGCAGTGGAAATGCGTTCACTGGAGTAATGAATCACACTTCACCATTTTGCAGTCCGACGGACGAATCTGGGTTTGGCGGATGCCAGGAGAATGCTACCTGCCCCAACGCATAGTGCCAACTGTAGAGTTTGGTGGAGGAGGAATAATGGTCTGGGGCTGGGGCTGTTTTTCATG